AAGGCCATCAATAACCACGTATATGCCATAATCTTTTCCCTACCAAATATACAGTAATAAAAAGATTTATAAAAGTACAGACAAAATTATTAGACAGCAATTATCTCTGATTATTATTATGGTGGGTAATTTTCAACAAAGAGAGTACCAAATGATAACAGGCATGTGCCTGCAAATTTCACAAAAGAAAATGAGAGAAAAAAAAGAAAGTTTGTGGCATCTTGAAGCTTTACATGAGATGTACATGCACTCTTGAGTGTTTTAATGTGCATTAATATATAAACATTTTATTTTTTAAAACATTTAAAGCATTGTATTTTTCAATATTTCTGCAATGAATATATTCTGTTGTATAATAAAATATAATTACTTTAATAATAAAATATTGCATTTATTTAGAATGGATATGAAGTATCCTGAAAAGCAAAGGAAAATTTAAAACCATCTATAATGTAATCACCCAGAGGTAAACACCATAACTTTTTTTTTTCTTTTTTGGTTATTTATTTATTTTGAGAGAAAGCACTAGCAAGGGAGGGGCAGAGAGAGAGACAGAGAGAGAATCCAAAGCAGGCTTCCTGCTATCAGCGTAGAGCCAGATGTGAGATTCAAACTCTTGAACCGTGAGATCATGACCTGAGCTGAAATCAAGAATTGGACACTTAACCCACCAAGCCACCCAGGCGCCCTAGCACCATAACATTTCATACACATACCTCCAATCTTTCTATCATTAAATATACATTTTAACATAGTGAAATCATACTGTGGCCTGGATTATATCTACTTTGTATACATCGTATCTCACAAAATGTCCCAGAGCGTAAGACTTTTTGAAAACATTATTTTCACTGCCTGTATGGTGTATTATATAAATTCATAGATCTCTGAGTAATAATCTAGGGTTAGACATTTTAATTGCTTCCAGGTTTCCACTACCATAAGCAATATTAAAATAAGCCTCTATGTAAATTTATTATTTTTTTTGCTGATATTTTCTCAAAATAAGTGTCCAGAAGGGGCGCCTGGGTGGCTCAGTCGGTTGAGCGTCCAACTTTGGCTCAGGTCATAGTCTCGCAGTCCATGGGTTTGAGCCCCACATTGAGCTCTGTGCTGATAGCTCAGAGCCTGGAGCCTGCTTCAGAT